GGAAGAAAATACCACAAAATGAGGTGGAAGAGAGAGTGAGCTCAACTGAAAAAAAAGCACAAACTTACAGTTATCAGATTAACAACTTTGGGGTTGTAATGTATAGCAATACGATTATACTAATAATGCTACATCTTGTATTTGAATGTTGCTAAGAGAGTAGATCTCAAATGTTCTCATCATGAAAAAAATAAATGGTAACTACACGGCTATGTGATAAGATGGAGGTGGTAGCTAATGGTATGGTGATGTGAAAGAAAAACACTAGCCCAAAATGGAGTCACTTGTGCTAAAGCTAATGCTACCAAACCTAGATTTAATACCTGACCTAATTGCTGCTTCAACCTCTCCCAGACACTTAATCAAAAAGTCTGGAATTTTCTGGTCAACACCATGATATCACCTGTCACATGGGCCCTCCCTAACCCCAATAGAAATAGCAGGAAATCCATATGATGAAAATGGTTGCCCTTCCCTTCCCCCTAGTAGTAGATGTCCTGGTCTAAAAACAATCCATTCTTTTCTTTTGTTAGTAGCCCTCTTGCCCACTCTTCTTCTGGTAAAAACCTTCCATTTTGTACAACCCCTTGGGGCACCCTTCTGGTTGCTACATGGGATGCTGTCTAATACACAAATAGCTTATTAGAGCCAATTGGATCTTCAAATTGAAAGATCAGTCGGAGGCCAGAAATCAGGTGACACAAGCTTTATCAGAGGAAAGACCTGCCGGGCTGTCTCGAAAAGGGAGAGCAGCAGCCCGTGCAGCGATTAGAACTCTTTTTAAGGAGAATGAGGAAGGCACAAGGGCTTGGGGTACTTGGCGAGAGCTGGTTGGTTAGTCAATGTATATGTCCATACAAGGTGTTCCTTCTGGGGTGGGGCCATATCACATTTACAGTAAGTCATCGCCATTGCAGGGATGGGTGGGTTTAGTAATCTCATTCCACTGGAAAGGTCAGTGAGTCATCGCCATTCCAGGGATGGGTGGGTTTAGTAATCACATTCCGGAGAAAGGTGAGTCTATCACAAATTTGCTCGGTTGAATTTTGTTCTTTAACAACTATTATACTCAGAGAAAATGATTGCAGTTGTTCTTTTCTTTTATTGGAGGTGCGATTCACAACTTTTAATATTTTCCTTTTCCTATGTGTGTGTCTCTCTCTGGCTGTCTTAAGCGAGGGATTCTACAAATGTTACAACACTCTTATTGCCACAGCAATGAGTGGGACTGCATCACTTGCTTTCCCAGTGCTTTCACCTGCACCTCATACAAGACTGACATTGACGATAACTTGAGTAATTGTGATGACACTTTCTGCCATGTGTTACCCAAGCCCCATTTTCCCCTCACAACGAGGTCATCCCGGAGCTTTTCAAAGTATAACCAACCCGGTCCTCGACTCCTGTTTTGAGAGTTTCTTTTCTGGTGCCAATCCTGCTACCCTTTACTATATCCATCAAGTCCCAATAGGCTTCAGATGACACACTGAATTTAGAATAACTTGAGAAGAATGTAATAAGGCCATATTTACAAAAGTATAGGCAGGGTTTGGGGAAATCACAAGGCATTGTGCAGTAATTGATGGCTATTAAGAGAAATTTGCATTACAGGAGTAGAGATTTTGGTCTGATGGATGCAGCCAGACTTCAGTGGCCTGCAGGGAGGGACACAAGGGAATAAATATCTAAATCTCACCCTTCTTCCCTCTTGCTAATCCTACCCCATTGACACAACCCAACAGGAAGCCAGAGGGCAAAGAAATCTCTTGATGTAGACGATAAGATTACTCTTCCTGGGCAACAGGGCAGGGAAGAATATGAGACAGGGGTGGGCAAACTTTTTGACTCGAGGGCCACAATGGGTTCTTAAACTGGACCGGAGGGCCGGAACAAAAGCATGGATGGAGTGTTTGTGTGAACTAATATAAATTCAAAGTAAACATCATTACATAAAAGGGTACAGTCTTTTTTTTTTTTTTTTTAGTTTTATTCATTTCAAACGGGCCGGCCCGAGGGCCGTAGTTTGCCCACGGCTGCTAGTAGCAAACGGAACATATCCAACATCTGTGTGAGAAATGCTCACCTGTCTGAATTAAAATAATGGACTGGAGACAGAAGTATCGTGAAAACAAGACTTTTAATAGTTCTCAAGAGCAGGTGCCCGTAGGTTGTATAGGCAGGCACACCACCTGGAGTAGCAGCACAGCCTATTTATCTAGTCCAGTGGTTCTCAACCTTGGCTGCACATTAGAATCACCTGGGAATCATCCTCTGGAAATTCTGTTTCTTTGTCACTAATGTTGTGGCCCCACCCCATAACAAAGAAACAGAATTTCCAGAGGATGAGGCCCAGAAATCAGGATTTTAAAAAGATTCCCAAAGGGGTTGTGACCCACAGGTCGAGAACCACTGATCTAAGGGTTTTAAGGGTGGAGATTTTAGGGAAGGTCCCAGGGGCAGTTCTCAATAGACTATTCAGCAGCTTTCCAGGTGTGCCCTTTCAGGGTTGGGGTCTCCACTGATTGATTGGTCAGTGCCAGGGTCATTATTCAATGCAGCTTGTCCTGAGGTCAACCTTGGCATCACTTGTCAGGTTTTGCTGCTTTGTGAGCCTGGAGCTGAGATACATCTGAGGCTTAGAAATGATCTCTAAGGAGGAAAGGTCAGAGGGTCTAAACCAGTGGTTCTCAACCTTCCTAATGCCACGGCCCTTTAATACAGTTCCTCATGTTGTGGTGACACCCAGTTTCATTGCTATAAATTGAACATAATTAAAGCATAGTGATTAATCACAAAACAATATGTAATTATATATGTGTTTTCCAATGGTCTTAGGCGACCCCTGTGAAAGGGTCATTAGACCCCCAAAGGGGTCGTGACCCACAGGTTGAGAACCTCTGGAAATGGAATGACCAGCAATATGAAAAGTGGGGGTTGGGGGTCCCAGTCGAATGACCAGAGATATGCTAGGGGGCTGAGGTCCCACTCTATAATAAGCAACTGAGGTTTTCTGCCCTGGTGACCTTCAGTAGCTGGCCCATCTTCATTGCTTTGCTCATGTGTGTCTAATTGTCTATCATAATTAGACATTTATATAATTTACTAAATGATTTCCCTGATAATTCTAGTACTCACCTGTCACCACATAGATATTAAAATATTATTGACTATATTTCCTATGCTGTACTTTAGATCCTGATGACTATTTTGAAACTGCCAATTTGAACTTCTTAACCTCTTCATCTTTTTCACCCAGACCTCCAACCCACTCCCTTCTGGGAGCCATCAGTTTGTTCTCTGTATCTATGAGTCTGTTTCTGTTTTGTTTGTTCATTCGTTTTGCTCTTTAGATTCCATATATAAGTGAAATCATATGGTATTTGTCTTTCTTTGTCTTTCATTTAGCATAATATCCTCTAGGTCCATCTATCTATGTTGTCATAAATGTAATATGTCATTCTTTTTTAAAAATATACTTTATTGATTTTTTACAGAGAGGAAGGGAGAGGGATAGAGAGATAGAAACATTGATGAGAGAGAAACATCGATCAGCTGCCTCCTGCACACTCCCCACTGGGTATGTGCCCGCAACTAAGGTACATGCCCTTGATCAGAATCGAACCTGGGATCTTTCAGTCTGCAGGCCGACGCTCTATCCACTGAGCCAAACCAGCCAGGGCATGTACCACATCTTTATCCAATCATCTATTAATGGGCACTTAGGTTGCTTCCATATCTTGCCATTTGTTTTAAATAACACTGTGGTAAATATAGAGGTGCATATATCTTTTCAAATTAGTGTTTTGAATTTTTTAAAGATAAATACACAGAAGTGGAATTACTGGGTCACTAAGGTAATTCTATTTTGAATTTTTTGAGAACATCCATACTGTTTTTCATAGTGGCCAAGTCAATTTGCAATCCCACCAACAATACACAAAGATTTCCCTTTCCCCAGAAGGCAGGGTTCGAAAAGGAATCTTCCCTGTGCTTGGTGTAGTTGAATGGGAGAATTACATGGACTCAAAGCCAGTCAGACCAGTAGTGCTGAGCAGTGCTCCTGCTGTCTCTGACACTCCTGCCCTGGAGTCTTTCCACCTTTGCTCACTTCTCAAGTTGGGCTTAAACTGCCAACTTCTTATCCCTGACGAGATGTAACCAGTTACTTGCATTTCTCTTTTGAGTCTTGCAACAACTTTAGGATGTGGCCCTTTTATACAAAAGGAGAAACAGGTGGTAGGCAATTTAGTGGAGATGTCAGTCTCTTGGGAGAGTTAGGGCTAGAACTTTTGTTAGGAGGTGGATATTTCTTTGTGCTCCATTAATGCTCACACCACCTAGATAAAAGTCTTTACCTGGAAGTTATGCCTCCTAATTTTCTGGCTCAGGTATCATAAAAGAGGACCATGAAGTGCTAACCCTGACTTTTCTGAGTCCTGCCATGACCTCTCTTGAGTTGACACAGGGGCATGGAAAACATTTCTGGCAAAGTGATCAGGTTCTGGGTTACTAGTCAAGGTAAAACTAACCATTCTGGTGGATCAATGGGACAAACAAAAGGGTCGAGGGTGTTGCCAAAGTTTACAAGTGGAAAGATAAGGTTGCTGTTATCTGAATTTGAGAAGGTGGAATCTGGAGTTTGATTTGTGACATTTTAAAGTGTTTATAAAATATCCAAGTAGAGAATGTCTCTTTCAGTTTGGAATTAAGGTTAGAGGTGTAGGGCTCCAGGTGGACATTTGAGTCTTAAGTGTATAAATTGTATTTAAAGCGTTGAGAGTCGTTTCGAGTAGAGAGAATAATTATAAGAAGCTTGAAAAGTGAGTCCCAAGGCTCTCAAACAATTAGCAGTTGGGGACAGGTGCTCAACCATCAGAATCCACCTGGGCATCTTGACCAGCATGCCTGCCTAAACTCAGAACTACATTTCCCAGAATCCTTTCCGCTCCGTGCTTCCGGGTTAGAGCAGCCAATGAGTCACGCGTGATTTAGAAGGCGGAAGTGAAACGGAAGCCATTATTCTCCGGAGGCGATAGTCTCTTTACACATAGGCTGTAGAGGGCTCCCCTGCGATTTCCTTCAGTTGTTGGTGACCTTCCGCCTCCCTGCGGCAGACTGGACCTTCCGTTTGAATTTCTCGGCCCTCCGGCGGCAGCTTCCGTGACCTCGGCTCCCCCCGATTTTACCCTCAGTAGGGTAAGCCCGGCTTTCCTCGTTTAACCCTTTACTCTCGGCTTCTCTGAGAACACCAGAGGCCTGCAAGGCAAGGAGTTATGGGGGACCTGGACCTGGGACTGGGACGCCAGGTGGCCCGGCCAGTAGTGTGTTTTAGTCCCTGTGGAGACGCGAGGACTGAAATTTAGAACCATATTTAGCGACATATTTAGGCGCTGATGACTGGTCAAAAAACAAACAAAAAACAAACACCTGACACCTTGGGGTGGAGACAGAAAAGCCAGGCCGAGTGAGTTCGGGATATTATGGAGGCTCAGGAATTAGAGACCTTGAGGATGAATTACCTTTCTTTTGCTTTTGTGGTCAATTTTCTTTGTGGTTAGTTTGGTCTACTATTAATACAGGCACATTGTTTTTGGCAGCATTTGTCTTTAATGCTTTTTATACTCAAACTTTGGGTGCACTTGTCTGTTTTTATTTTATTAATTTTAGTTGACTCGTATGTAAATAGCCTATAACTAGATTTAAAAATTCAGTTGGGCATTGTTACTTAACGAGAGTTAGTCCATTAATAGTTATTGTGATTACTAACAGTTTGCATTGATTTTTACCATCTTATTTGGTTCCTTTGATTTATCTTTCTATAGGACAGATGTGCCAAAAAATGTATGAAAACACATAGACACAGTTAAAAGGACAGCAATAAAGCAAATCCACAAATCAGGCCAAGAAAAGATTATAAAACTCAGAAACCTGTGTGCTCCTAAATTGCATCCTCTTCTCCAAGATTTTCTTTATGGATTCTACTGTTTATATGCATTTCCCCAAAAATACATTTCCCAATTTTAGTAATTATTTTTTTAATGTACTCACGCTCTGAAGTATTTTCATGCACATCTTTTTTCCATACTGATGCAACTACACATTCTAATTTAGAGATTTCTAAATATCTTGTAGGTGGAGTTCATACACATATCCATTGTTTTTTAGGTACCTTGTGGCTTAAATTTGATTTTTTTCAAAAATTTTTTATTGATTTTGAGAGAGAGAGAAACATCGATTTGTTGTTCCTCGTATTTATGCATTCATTGGTTGTTTCTTATATGTGCCCTGACCAGGGATGGAACCTGAAACCTTGGTGTATCTGACAAAGCTTTAACTAATTGAGCTACCCAGCCAGGGCCTAGAAGCTTTTTTAAAACAGTATTTATTAGGTCAAGGAAGCTCCCTTCTTTCCTTAGTTTAAGAGCTTTTCTTTTTTTTTTTCTCATGAGCAGCTGTAGCTTTTTACAAGTGATTATTTCTTTCTAGCATCTACTTGGACATCTGTTTGTTGATGTATTTCAAACACCTAGGGATGCCTGGCTTGTGATAGGTACATGGAATGAATGAGTGAATAATATGCTTTTCTTATTTGTCTGATAGAGTGGTGAATTACATCAATGAACACTTCTAATATTACATTAAATATGCATTGGTAAATAAATTACGTGGAAAGGATACTTATTGTATCATTTTTTGGTGATTTGGATCTGTGTTTGTAATTTTCCTGTCCTATTCAGGTTTATGCCAGCCATATAAACTTTTTTCTAAACTTGGCAGTGTTTTGCCTAAGAATAGAGTGACTTGTTTCATAAAGGGAGCTGTACCAAGAAAAACCGTTTAGGTCTGGAGTTTGCTTTGTGGAAAGTTCTAAAGCTGTTGTTTCTGTTCCTTTAAGGGTTATAGGGCATCTAAATTCTCTATTACATTATGGTAGATAAAATTTCTGTTCATTCCATCTAAGGTTTAAATTGTATAGTCAAAGTTATTAATAACGTGCTCATATTTTTAATGCTTGCGACATCTGTAATGTTAAGTTTTTCATATATATAATATATATTATATATATATATATTTATATTTCTTTTAAAAATATAAATCCTGTCAGAATTTGGTCAATTTTGTTTTCTCAAAGAACTTTTGACTTGATTGAAGCACTTTATAATATGGTTTTTTTTATTTCAAAACTTTCTATATAATTTTCTTCCTTTTACTTTTTTTGGGATGTGTCTAATTTCTTACATTGGGTATCTGTAACATCCCACAGAAGTGCAGTATGTAGTATTATATTTCAGTTCCAAATATTATGACTTCCTTGACCTATGAATCACTTAGAATTTTCTCTTTTAATTTTCAAATTTTCATTCCTATGACTTTGTTGTTGTTGTCTTTAGTCATAGTTTGCTTAACTTCATTGCACTGGTCAGATTGATGCCATTTTCTGAGACACATTGTGCTTGTAGGGTTGGATTTTATAGTTAGGAAATACTGTTTCATCTTAATCAGACTATGTATAGTTATCGAATTACCTGCCTGAACTGTATTAATGAGAGCTCTGGTGGTGGTTAGTCTGTCCTTTTTAATTTTTTTCATACTTTTGAGGCTGTGTCATAACATATGCAGGTATACACAGCATTTTCTTCAGTTATACTTTTCACTATGTAATATCTCAGATTTCTCTCGGAGCTTTATTGCCTTAATCCATTTTGTCTTGTGTTAATATTTTTAAACCAGCTTTAAAAAAAGTGTGTGCTGTATATATTTTTAAATTTTCATTCTTGTTCTATTCCTATGTGTTAGATATCTCTTAGACACAGCATATAACTGAATTCCTTTGAATCCATTTTGAGAATATCTATTTTAGTTGAAGCATTTTCATTTCTTTTTTAATTTTTTAATGTATTTTTATTGATTTTAGAGAGAGGAGGAGAGAGGGGACAGGGAAAGGGAGAGAGAGATAGAAACATCAATGATGAGAGAGAACAATTGATCAGCTGCCTCCTGCACACCCGCTACTGGGGAAGGAGCCTGCAACCTGGGCATGGCCCTGACCGGAAATCAAACCATCACCTCCTGGTTCATGGGAATCACTAAGCCACACTCTCTGGGCTGAAGCATTTAGTCCATTAACATTTTATGTGTTAATATATTTGGTTGTTGAATTTGCCTTATCTTTTTCCATTTATTTTTTCTAGTTTCCTTTGATTTGAGTATTTTTTATTCTACTTTTTTCTTTGAACATTTTGAATTTATTTTACTTATATATTTACTCTGAAGACGTTGGCCTTAGAAGGGAGGGCAGACATCTCTTGTTTGTAATAGGAGAGGAAGAGATAGTAGGTTAGTTGTGGGAGGAATTTTTGTATAGAGACCAGAAAGTAAGAAAAATTTCTTTTAACTCTAAAGTATAGATTACAAGAAAATGCACAGATCTTAGGTGATCCGTTTGATTAATTTTTTTTGACAGTTGTGTACATTGTATAACCACTAACTAAAAATAAAAATACCTGTAGCCCTAACCGATTTGGCTCAGTGGATAGAGCGTCGGCCTGCGGACTGAAAGGTCCCAGGTTCGATTCCGGTCAAGGGCATGTACCTTGGTTGCGGGCACATCCCCAGTCAGAAGTATGCAGGAGGCAGCTGATCAATGTTTCTCTCTCATCAATGTTTCTAACTCTCTATTCCTCTCCCTTCCTCTCTGTAAAAAGTCAATAAAATGTTTTTTAAAAAAATACATGTAGTTTTTCCTCAGTCTATCCAATACCATCTCATGTTCTCCTTCAAGGCAACCACTTTTTTTTACCATGGACTTAAATAAGTTCTTCCATTGACTTAAATAAGTTTTGCCTATTCACGAACATCATGTAATTGGAATCAGAAAATTTCTTGTGTCTATCTTCTGTTTGTCAACATATATTGTGTGTCTCGGTAGTTTCTTTTTATTGCTGAGGAGTATTTCATTGTACTTGTTACATTTTGGGTTTTTTTCTCTTGTTGATGGATATTTACATTGTTTACACTTTTTGGCTGTTACGAATCAGAATGTTTCTTGGGTAATATCTCGACATGGAATTACTTGGTCAAATAGTAGGCCTACTATTTAAGAAACTGGCAAAATGTTTGAACCATTTCACATTTCCACCATCATATGAGAATTAGAGGCCCGGTGCACGAAATTCGTGCACAAGTAGGGCCCTTAGGCCTGGCCGGCAATCAGGGCCAGTCTGCGGGGTGACCAGCAGGGCAATCAGGGGACTCTGCTGGGACCCACCTTGGCTGGCCTGGGGCCTGCAAGCTGGGGGCAGCTCCTGCATTGAGCATCTGCCCCCCGTTGGTCAGTGCGCATTATAGCGATTGGTTGTTCTGCTGGTTGTTCCGCCACTTGGTCGATTTGCGTATTAGGCTTTTATTATATAGGATAGGGTGTGTGCCACATTCTTGGGATATTATGCTGATGGTCTTTTATTTTGGCCTCTCTGGTGGGTTGAAATGCTATGATGTTTTATTTTGGCCTCTCTGGTGGGTTGAAATGATATTAGTTTTGATGAAAAATTAATGATGTTTTAACTTGCATTTTTCTGATAACAAATGATGCTGAGTACCCTTTGTCGTGATTATTATATTTGTCATTACATTTCATGAAGTGTCTTAGTTCTAGCCTTTTTTTTATTGTTTTGTAGGAGTGCTTTAATCTGAATATGAAATTTTTGTCAGGTATGTGTATTAATATCCATCACCATACATAGTTTCAAAAATTGTTTCTTGTGGTCAGAGCTTTCAAGATCCACACTTTTAGCTACTTTTAAGTATGCAATACAGTATTATTAACTATAGTCACCATGCTATACATCACATGACTTATTTTATAACTGGAAACTTGTACTTCTTTTTTCCCCTCTTTTTGTTGTTGTTGTTGTTAAATCTCACCCAAAGATATGTATATGTATATGTATATATATATGTATATATTTTTTTTCATTGATTTCTAGGCAGAGTGGAAGGGAGGGGGAGAGACAGATAGAGAGAGAAACATGATGAGAGAGAGAGAGAGAGACTCATGGATTGGTTGCCTCCCTCAGGCTCCCTGACCTCTTTTACCTATTTTATTCACCACCACTGCCTCAGGCAACCATCAGTGTGTTCTCCATATTCTGACCTTGGCTTTTGTTTTGTTTTGCTTTTTTAAAGTTTCTATATATAAGTGAGAATTTTTTTGTCTGACTTAATTTCACTTAGCATAATATCCTCAAGGTCCATCTATGTCACAAATGGCAAGATTTTTTTTATAGCTGAATAATAATTCCATTATATATGTGTGTATAGTATATATATACACATATACTACTATATATTTATTTCACATTTGCTTTGTCCATTCATTCGTCAGTGGACATTTAGGTTGTTTCCATGCCTTGGCCATTGTAAATAATGCTGTAATGAGCATGGAGGTGGAGATATCTTTTCAAATTAGTGTTTTCATTTTTAGGTAAATACCCAGAAGTGGGATTGCTGCATCACATGGTAGTTCTGTTTATACTGTTTTCCATAGTTGCTGTACCAGTTTACATTCTCACCAAACAGAGCACAAGTGTTCCCTTTTCCCTATATTCTGGGCAACACTTGTTGTCTCTTGTCTTTTTTATAATAGTCATTCTAACAGGTATACGGTTTTGATTAGCATTTCCTGGATGATTGGTGATGTTAAGCATCTTTTCATGTGCCTTCTGGCCATTTGTATGTCTTTGGAAAAATATCTGTTTAGGTCTTCTGCCTATTTTTTATTTGGATTGTTTGTTGTTTTGCTGTTGAGGTGTGTGAGTTCTTTACATGTTTTGGATATGAATGACTTGCAAATATTTTCTCCCATTCAGTAGGTTGCCTTTTCATTTTGTTGATGGTTTCCCTAGCTGTATAGAAACTTTGTAGTTGTTTTTTTGTTTGTTTATTTTTTTTGTTTAATCCTCTTCTAAGGATATATTTTTAGATATAGGAAAGGAGTGATTAGAGACACCAATCTGTTAGCACCCATACGCACCCTCACTGGGGATTGAACCCGCAACCTAGGTATGTGCCTTGTCAAAATCAAACCCACAATTTTGTGATGTATAGGATGACATCCCAATCAACTGAGCCACAGGCCAGGGCAGGCTTTTTTTTTTTTTTTTAAGAATTTTAAAAAATATTTTTATTGATTTCAGAGAGGAAGGGAGAGGGAGAGAGAGTCAGAAACATCGATGAGAAAGAAACATTGATCAGCTGCCCCCCGCACATCCCCCACTGGGATGTGCCCGCAACCGAGGCATATGCCCTTGACCGAAATCGAACCCGGGACCCTTGAGTCTGCAGGCTGACGCTCTATCCACTGAGCCAAACTGGTCAGGGCCAGCTTTTGATTTATTATGAGATACTTTATTTTCTGTTGTCATATATGGAACTGTTTTTTGTGTCATTTTCTAGTCTTTGCTGAGATCCATTTTTTTCTGGTTGTGATTACTATGAAAGGAACATAAGATTATTTGCTGAAAGAGCATAATGGTAAGACAGTTTTTTTTAATATATTTTATTGATTTTTTACAGAGAGGAAGGGAGAGAGATAGAGAGTTAGAAACATCTATGAGAGAGAAACATCGATCAGCTGCCTCCTGCACACCTACTGGGGATGTGCCTGCAACCCTGGTACATGCCCTTGACCAGAATCGAACCTGGGACCTTTCAGTCCGCAGGCCGACGCTCTATCCACTGAGCTAAACCGGTTTCGGCAAGACAGTTTTTTATTCAGAAAAACTGTTGAGGTTTTTACATGGTTATGGGGATATTGGAAGATTGGATTGCCTAGTATCCTTTTCTTTAGTGTATACTCCTTTAGGGGTTAACGACTTTGAGTTTTGAAGGTGACCAGTTGTGTGTGGACTAGTCTTCCCAACTATCTTTAGAGATGAGGTAGATGGTTGGAATCATCCAGGCTGTTTTTTTTTTTTTTAAATATATTTTTATTGATTTCAGATAGGAAGGGAGAGGGAGAGAGAGATAGAAACATCCATGATGAGAGAGAATCATGAATCGGCTGCCTCCTAACACCCCCCCCCCCCCGCCCCGCACTGGGGATCAAGCCTACACCTGGGCATGTGCCCTTGACCGTAGTCGAACCCAGGACCCCTCAGTCCGCAGGCCAACACTCTATCCGCTGAGCCAAACCGGTTGGGGCCAGGGCTATAATAGGCAGAGGAATTTGGACAGATTGTAGAAGTGATGGATTGTGATAAATCTTGGCTTGATAGGTGGAGCAGTGAGAAGAGGAATTTGCTGTGAGGGAGCAAGATTGTAGAAGCATGAGTGGTCTGGAATCCTCTATAAAGTGAAAGAGTTCATGCAAGAAGAATGTTGTGTAGAAGTGCAGATTTCTGAATCATTGTTAGATAAAGCTGGCAACTAGAGATGACAAGGCCTGTGTGTTGGCATACAGTTGTGTATGTTGATGTGGAGTGGGGGGGCCAAATAACACTGGAGATTGGAACATGTAGTCCTAGGTGGACCATCTTCATGGATACTAGAATGATCCTAAACCATAGCATGTATCAAAGTTGAAGAACAGAAGTCTGGGGCACAAATGTTTAATGAGCGAGGGAGTTTAACAGAGTTGTACTTGCTGACACATTACATGGGGGTCAGAGTTGTCCACCACATTGCCTGGAGGTCTTGCCTAAGCAAGGGAAAGGCTTAGGATCAAACAGAATTTTCTGCTCAAAAGGAGAAATACTGGAAAGCAGAAGTCAGAATTGTCCCATGAGCAGGAGAGATAGAAAGCCTTGACTTCTCCTAGTAATCTTTTTCTCATTTACTACAGATGCCTGCTCGAAGACTCCCATAAGAACGAGAGAGTAGCTTTCTGATGCTAGTGTCCTGTTGTCCAGGCAAATTTATTATCATTCTCACAGGATGGCAGCTCTTGATCTCTCTCCCACATGTGGTAAGTTCTAGGAGTGAAGAACGCTCTCAGAATTCAAGCTTAAGTGGCCACTTCCACTTCCCAAGGACAGAGGGATGGCTGCCAGGGGAGGATGAATCAACTGGAAAGTAGTGGGAGCAAAGTCCTGGGAGAGCCTCTTGAGGTGACTGTCTGATTTAGGCAGGATCTTTGTGAGTTTGGGTGAGAGAGGGAGTGTGTGTAATTGGTGTGAAAAGAAAAACACAAGTATGGGTAGTAACCCTAAACTGCCTCAGTTATTATTTTGATAAATCTGAGCAAAGCTCTATCTCTTAGAGAGTTAATTTCTTCACTCATAAATTGAGAAAACATATTACTTTTGTTACAGGTATATTGGCCCACCTCCCTTTTTCCTGTCCTTGAGTAGAGCAGGGCTGCTCTGGATTCTTACCGAATGTGGGGTGTGTGTATATTCTGATGGGGAATGTGCACTACACGCTTATAGTTTAGTAGTTTGTAAGTGTCAAGCAAGCTTTTATTCTCATGAATCCTGTCTTCTCTAGCTATATCCATCCAGGAACCTGCCCATATTCAGGAGTCAGAAATTCCTCTTGCCTCAAAAGACCATTCTTGTCACCAGAATATGGACCTGTTTGCTTATAATGGCCTGGAGCCTCATATGCCAACTAATGTTGTTTCCCAGGTACGCCAATATCTCTGGGCCCCTGAGGGTGGGAGAGGACACGCCCAATATCACATAATGAAATTCTTTTAGATTTTTATTCTGGTTAATTGATGCCTGATCAGGGATCAAGAGACAGAGCCAAATAATGTTTCAAGGCTGTCGAGGTATCAAAGTTTTTAGGGAAAGTGACTTACATAGCAAATGTTTCTCTTATAATATGGTTTGAGTTTTCAGGCCAGGCTAAAAGTGGAGAGAGATTTTGATCCCATGTCAGAGTTGCATTTGAAGCAGTAAGACAGGGTAAGATCACCGCGTAAGGAAAACGGAACAGCTGCTGACTGGCTTCTGGAATACATTTTGAGACACCAGAACCCCATACTGAAATCCTATGATTTGACTCTTTCATATCCAGTCTTCAGCCTCTGCCATCTTTGAACACAAGCTCTTTTCTCACTGACCCCAAATGTGGTGTTTCAGGACTCAGTGACTTTCCAGGATGTTGCAGTGGACTTTACTGAGAAGGAGTGGCCCTTGTTGGATTCTTCTCAGAGAAAACTATACAAAGATGTGATGCTGGAGAACTATAGTAACCTTGCCTCAGTGGGTAAGACTGGCATCACTTCTTCATTTATGAATCAAATAATTTTAAGTAGTTGGCTGTAACCTAGGAGCAGGGTGGGGATTTGGAACACAGTTGTGACCTGGTGCCTACCCTTTGGTGTCTCCCATGGATATTAAGACCTGTTTATTGCATTGACCTTGGAGGTTGTCAAATGTGTCTGAGCTTGGGCATAGGTTTCTGATTAAGAAATCCTTAACTTCTAAGTTAAGAAATCTATTAAAGGGCAAAACATGTGGGTATTTGTGGTTTTGATTTTTATGACAGCCTTTCACTGTGTCCCTTAGAAATTTGTCACCATCATTTTGCTGCTCCTAAGTCAGTCTTGTCCATCTTCAGAACTCTTGACTTCAGAACAGGTGTCCTCTGCACGATCCTCCCTCAACATGTATCTTTCCCCATGAGTAGGGTGTCAGGTGGGGAAACCCAGCCTCATCTTCCACTTGGAGCAAGAAGAGGAGCTGAGAACAGAGGAGAGTGGATTTCCCCAAGGCACATGTCCCGGTAAGGACCTGCATCATAAGTGCTTCTGAGTAGTGGCTATTCTCAGTTATTGGGATGGAGGGGGATCCATTAGGAAATTTCACCCAGGAATATATAAAATGCTCATTCTCTTTCATTGCTCCTCTATTCTCTGACACATTCTTTGGTTTCACTATCCTTTCACCTTTAAATTTGACATGTCCACATGGAACTTTTTTCTATCCTTTTAAATTCAACATTCCTGATTATATTTTTTCTTTCATTAATGTTGGTCTTTGAAGAATTACTTCTTATTGTGCTGACATAAATGTCCACCCCTTGTCATCAAATATCACACAGTCAAATATTTCAGTCATTTTTACCTATGCATTCTTCCTTTTCACCTCATCTTTCCTTTTTTCGAATTGGTTTTTTTTTTTTTTAAATCACCTATTTTTGTCACCAGCGTTCTACCATTTTCTTTTAAGAGTAAATTTATCTTTTTCCAATTTGTTTCAGATTGGGAGATTCCTTCTAAAACCAAGTGGTCTATTCTCATGGAAGATATTTTTGGGGATGAAACACCTAGTGGTGTGACAATGGTAAGATTTTTGGGGGGATAATTCTGGATCTTCCATATTAGGAGATAAGTGGGGCAGCTTAAGTTAGAAAAGGAGCTCAAGAACTAGGCAGGTGGCATTCCCCAAGAGGAAGCAATGTTAGAGACACTAATATTACCAATTACTAGCCCAAAACTTTCCACTTAGAGTTCTGATGAGTAAAAATTTCTATAGCTATGTCTTAGGTAATTGAGTGTTGGAGTTCAATTCAGATTTAAACAGTTAACAAAGTCTATTTTGTAAAAAGCTTTGTTATGGTTACACACATGGTACCTTAGGGCATACATAACATTCACCTGTTCTACTTGATAGAGCCCACAGGGGCAAGACTAGTATTTTTACATCTGTAGTCATAATGATGACATCTATAGTCATAATGATGTGCTTTAATTTATGTCAGTTTATGTGGGGATAATTCTTAGGAATGAAATGAATATTGGAAATGCCTTAGTCAGCACTCATCTTTAAATCAACAGGAAAGAACTCATCTTGGAGAGAAATCCACTGAATATGCTCACCTGTTTGAAGTCTTCAGTATGGGTGCTCATCTTACTCAGCAAATGGGAAGACACACTGGCAGGAGGCCCTATCACCGCCGGGACTATGGGGTGGTTTTCAAGAACAGGTCACATCTAACGCAACATGTGAGCATTTACAATGGGAGAAAAATGCATGAATGCCATCAGTGTCAAAAAGCCTTCACCACAAGTGCTTCTCTTACACGGCACAGGAGAATACACACTGGGGAGAAACCCTATGAATGCAATGTCTGTGGGAAAGCTTTCAGTGATCCCTCAGCCCTTAGGAGTCATGCAAGAACTCATCTCACAGAGAAGCCCTTTGATTGCAGTCAATGTGGAAATGCATTCCGAACCCTCTCCTCCCTAAAGATACACATGAGAGTTCACACTGGGGAGAGACCTTACAAGTGTGATGAATGTGGGAAGACATATGGCAGGGGCTGCCACCTCATTGCACACAAAAGAACACACACTGGAGAGAGACCCTATGAATGTCAAGACTGTGGGAAAGCTTTCCAGCATCCCTCACATCTCAAAGAGCATGTCAGGAATCACACTGGAGAGAAACCCTATGAGTGCACACAGTGTGGAAAAGCCTTTCGATGGAAGTCTAACTATAATTTGCACAAGAAGAACCACATGGTAGAGAAAACATATGAATGTAAAGAATGCGGGAAATCCTTTGGTGATCTCTTATCACGGAGAAAACACATGCGAATTCATATTGTAAAGAAACCCGTTGAATGTCGGCAGTGTGGGAAAACATTCAGAAACCAGTCCATCCTTAAGACACACATGAATTCTCACACTGGAGAGAAACCATACGGGTGTGATCTGTGTGGGAAAGCCTTCAGCGCCAGCTCAAACCTAACAGCACACAGGAAAATACACACTCAAGAGAGACGCTATGAATGTGCTGCCTGTGGGAAAGTCTTTGGTGATTATTTATCCCGGAGGAGGCACATGAGCATTCATCTTGTAAAGAAACGTGTTGAATGTAGGCAGTGTGGGAAAACCTTCAGAAACCAGTCAACTCTTAAGACACACATGAGAAGTCACACAGGAGAGAAGCCTTATGAGTGTGATCACTGTGGGAAAGCCTTCAGCATAGGCTCAAACCTTAATGTTCACAGGAGAATACACACTGGGGAGAAGCCCTATGAATGCTTGGCTTGTGGAAAAGCCTTCAGTGATCACTCATCTCTTCGGAGTCATGTTAAAACTCACCGGGGAGAAAAACTCATAGTGTCATCAGTGTGGAAGAGGCTCCAATGATAACACCTTCTTTAAGAAACACAAGAGCTCAGACTGGAAGGAAACCTTTTAAGTTTCAGGAAGGCAGGAAAGCCTTTATTCGTCTTACTGAGCACAAGGCAATACATGTAACTTGAAAGAGAAACAGTTTGTGTAATGATTGAAAAGACAAGTTTTTTTCTCATCTCTGAGAATTAATACTGGGGGAGAAAATGTGTCTCTGTGGTGTGGAAAAGCCATCAGTGTACATTTAAGTCTTAACAAATGTGACAGCTTAGAAAGAGAAACCGTAGCCTGGTACTTAATGTTAAAATTACTGTTGTACCACCTGGCACCTTCTGAGCCTACAAGTAAAGTAAGCACACTAGGGAAACATGGAAAAGTTGGTAATGGGTCAGGAAACTACAGCCAGCTGTCTATGTACGGTTCTCAAGCTAAGAATAGTTTACATTTTTAAGGAAGAAAATATGTGACAGACTGTGTGGCCCACAAAGACTAAAATACTCATTGTCTGGCCCTTCACAGAAAAAAAATTGCCAATTCCTGTTGCAGAGCAGTGGTTATTACCAGGGAGTGGATATGCTCCCCAGGAGACATTTGGCAATTTCTGGCGACATTTTTGGTTGTTAAAACGGGAAGGCATTACCTTCATATAGTTGGAAGACATCAAGGATATTGCTAAATAGACTACAATGCAGAGGAGCTCCCCAGAAAAAAGATATATGTGCCCCAAAATGTTAATATTGTCAAGGTTGAGAAACCTTGTCCTAGAACAGCTCCTCAATTTTTATGAAACTTGAGTCCTAGTACTCATGGTAGGTGAATTTCTATTTAACACTTCAAAAATATAACCAATGTAATTAATTCTTTAAAGAAATGCAAGAACCCACACTGCCGGCAATCCCTATGTGGAAATGATTTCAACCACAGCCCCCTCACGTTGCTTATGAGAATTCATTCACACCTCTAAGGAATTTTCTAGTGAGTGTGAAATTGCATTTGATGTATTTCATCATGAAAATAGACACTAGCTCATAAATTTTTAGTCTTTAAGGTTATGGAATTACCCTTACATCACAATATATTTGTGTGTAGTATTTTAATTATAATTTCACTGTTAAGAATGTGTTAACTTCCTTTTGGATGATTTACTTGACCAATAGACTCTGTAGAATCTTAGTTACTGTGAACTGTGGGTATTTTTTTTAATATATTTTATTGATTTTTTACAGATAGGAAGGGAGAGGGATAGAGAGTTAGAAACATCGATGAGAGAGAAACATCGATCAGCTGCCTCCTGCACACTCTCCACTGGGGATGTGCCCGCAACCAAGGTACATGCCCTTGACCAGAATCGAACCTGGGACCCTTGAGTCTGCAGGCCGATGCTCTATCCACTGAGCCAAACCAGTTAGGGCACCATGGGTATTTTTAGTGCCTGTTTGAGTATCTAAATCAAATGCATTGTGATCAGACTATGATGTCTTCATCAGATGAGTCCTTTGGGATGTTCCAGTCAACAGTGGCATATACTTCTAGTTGCTTCCCTAGTGTCTCATCTTCCATATCAAGAAAACTCAATTTTTGTCAGATTAGTAAGGTGTATTATTTTTAAAATCTCTTACAAGTTTCCTTACAATTCATACAGTCCATGTTCCACAGCCTGTCCATTATCAAATAAGCAGATGTTAATATACGGGCTTTGAGAAGACTCCTGAAAAAAGGGCCATTCTTACCTGGATTCTTCTCCACTTGTTTTTTTATTTTTGTCTCTCCCCCACTTCTCACCAAGCAAAGTGATCCAGTACCTTGTGTTAAAAGATCCATCTTATGACCATGAGGATGCAAGGCACAGGCTAAAAAGGATCCTGCAGAAAATTCACAAAGGATTCTGGCCTCCCCAGGGACTTCTTTAGGTGTCTATACTAGCCCTGAATTCACTTCCAGACTTCCTATTATGTGGAAAAATAAAACTGATTATTGGTTTAAGCTGCTTTGGATATTCATTTTTTTTTCTATTAGTTTTTTTATTGGCAGAGGGAGGGTTCTGCCTCATCCAGCTAGATGCTGTCTAACCCATTCACCTGTGATAGAGACCATGTGGGGTCCACAAGTGAGTTTTTGTAATGGCTACACACATGGGTATAATCTGCTTATGCTTTTAACTGTTGGATATGGATTTTTAAATTCTTCAAGCCAAATTTTAAAATTGCATTTCATATCTTTGATCTATTTAAACATCTATTTTCCTTTCTTCTTTATTGAAGAACTGTATTTGTTTTCACAGAAGTGCTAAGTGGACATTTACTTTATTCGGTTTCTTCTTAAGGTGAAGAAACCTTTTTGTAAATGTCCTAGAGAAATATAGTAGCTTTCTGTTCACACTTTGAAAGTAAAAAGGGTGGATCGTTCCACTACTGACATATTTAAAAAAAAGAGTGCTGAGAAGCAGGTGCCATCAATATTCTTTTGCACATGGAGAATTTGAGGCAAGGAAGTTTAGGTGACTGGTCTGAAGCCAACCTGTTAGCAGGTAGGAGTGCTTGTCTTTAAACCCTGGTGTCTGATTCCAGAGTCTATATTCCTATGTCAGGCCTTGTTCTATGCCCCTGGTCTATAGTGAATCAAGATATTTGCCTTCAGGTTGCTTACATTCTACTTGGGGTCGAGGCACCTAATAAGTAAATATATTTTATCTCTGATGGTGGTCAGTGCATGAAGGAAAAAATAAGCATGTGATGATGAGAATGTGGGATTCAGTGGAGCTGTGGGGTGTATAAGGAAAGCCTTTTGTGTAAGGTGACATTTGCTCAGAGATGTAAATGAGCTATAAGTGTGGGCTGTATTGTAATGTGGGGAGGAGCACCCTCAACAGCAGTTCAAAGGCCGTGAAAAAATTTTGTGCTTGGGACAAGGGGCCAGTGTGAGTGGAGTGGGTCAAACTTGTGAGTTGTTGAAGATGATGAGGTCAGAGCTAGATCAGGGTCCTGATCATGGGGACATCCTGTAGGATTAACTGGAAGGACTTTGCCTTCATTCTCAATATGGAGGGCTTTGAACAGAGGAGTGGCAAGTGTCCAATTTTAAAGGATCACAGTGGCTTCTGGGTTGATAGGCTAAATAGAAGGACAAGGTATGAACTGTTAAGCCATTGCAGAATTTAAGTTACATATAATGGTGGTCAGATTAGTAGGGGTAGTGGTGGTTTGAGAGTCACATTAATGACAATAGCCCTAGTTTCATTTTCATTTTCAGATTGTGATTCTTTCTATTAGTATACCACAAATTATTTACCTGTTTGCTGATGTACAGTTAGTTACTGGACTATTTTCACTTTTCTCAGTTACGAGCAAAGCTGCTTTAAGAAATTTTGTCACAGGTCTTTTGGAGTATTGGTGAGTTATTCCAGGAGTGTGAAATTGCTGGGCTATAAGGTCTGCGCATGTTCTGTTTATTAGTGTAATGCCAAAGTCCTTTCTAACGTGTATAATGATACTTTGTGTATATGTGGTAACATTTAAAACAGGTTTTACTAAAATGCAGAAAAATACTTAATTTGTACATGTACAACAGCTAAATTATCACGTATCCATAATATATGAACACATCCATATAATCAGGCAAGAAAAAGTACTACCAGCATTCTCAATACCCCTTCTTGCCTCTTTCAATTGACAAACCCTTCCCTGCTCTCCGTAGGTGACCAATATTCTGACTGACAATATGGCTTGGGGTTTTTGTTTCTTACCCCTATACAAGTGGAACCATATAGTATATGTTCTTTTGTATCTATCTTAATTTTCCCTAATGTTTTTGTGAAATGGATGCATATCGTTTTGAGTATTTCTAGCTAGTACATTTTATTGTGTTCCCTTGTTTTGAATATCCCACAATTTGTTTAAGCACTTTGTGTTGATGGGCAGACATTTTAAATTTTCAGCTTGGGACTTTATGAATAATGCTGCGATGAGCATATTTAATATTTCTGATAGTGCACAGTGTATGTATTTCCCTTGGGTGTGTACCCTGTATTGAAATTGCTGGTCATATGGAATGCATATGTTCACTTTTCATAGATGATGCCAATTTTCCAAAGTGGTTGTGCAAATTTGCTTTCCAAGAAGCTATTTTATTGAATTACCTGCCTTTTTCTTGTTTCTGGCCTCCCCAGGGGCTTCTTTAGGTGTCTATACTAGCCCTGAATTCACTTCCAGACTAAATTCTCCAACTTTGTGGCTTGTCTCTTCAATGTTTTAACTGGTATTTTTTTATGAAATGAATTAATTTTAAAGTCATCTAATCTTTATGAACAGTGCTCTTCTGTTCCTGAGTATTTGCCCACCCCGAAGGCAAGAAGATATTCTACATTTTTTTCTACAAGTCCTATTGTTTCAATATGCACATTTAGATCTACAGTTCACGTAGAATTGTTTTTTGTGTATTTTTCCCACATTGACCCAGATCATTTATTTTAAAAGTACATCTTTACCCCATGTACTTTTTTTGAGATACCACCTTTGTCATATACTGAGTTTTATGTGTTTTTAGCCTAATTCTGAACTTTATTTTTTTTGCCACAATGTTTAAGTTATAAGAAGTTTTATAATAAGTTTTAATGTCTATGTGAACTGGTTTCCCCCTCACGGTTTTTCTTTTTCAGTGTTTCCCTAGGTATTCTTGCCCTTTTGTATATGCACTTTCCTATTATCCAACTCCATAAAATTAGCTTGTTGGTATTTTTATTGGCATTGCCTTGAATTTGTAAGTTCACTTGGAGAGAACTAACATCTCTATATTGTTAAATCGTCTTATCCAAGAACAAGGGGATGTCTTTTCATTTAAGTTTACTTTAGTGTTTGTCAGGAATGTTTTAAAAAATCTACTTTAGTGTTTATCAGGATGTTTAAAAATTTTCCTTGCACAAGTTTTTCTTATAACAAATTTTTGTTGTTTCCCTAAATATTTAATTCTTTATTTAAATGAGATTTTTCTATGCCATTATGACTTCATAGTTTCTATATATGAAAGCTGCTGATTTTGTATCTTAATTTTATAACTTGCTGTTTGACTGAATTTTTTTACTTTTTAAGTTTTATTATTGCTCTTTTGGAGTTTTCCAGGCATAATACTGTGTCATCTATAAATTATGATAGCTTTACTTGTTTACCAATTCTTATGCCTCTGATTGTTTTTGTTTGTCTAATTGCATTGGCTAATGCCTCTAGTGCAGTGATAAGCAGTAGCAGAAATAGTGGGCATTCTTGCCTTGTTCTAGGGGTAAGGTTCCTTTTGTTTTTTCATTAATTAAGTTAATGTTTTAGAGTAAATATTTTATCATATTTAGAAGGTACATTATACTTTTGGAAGTTTACCAAATTTTGTCAAAGTTTTTCTGATTTATTAATACTAGTATATGATATTAATAAATTTCTCAGCATTCAAAAAGTCTTGTATTCTGAATGAATTTCACTTGGTCATGGTGTATTATTTTCTTAATGTGGTTTTGGAATCTGTTAGTATTTTGTTTAGAATTTATTGATTTTCATGTATGATAATTGGTCCATAGTTTGCTTTGTACTGTCTTTATCTGATTTAGGTATTTGTATTATACTTCCTTCATAAGAAGATATAGTAAGATTTCTTTCCTTTTCAATGCTCTGGAATAGTTTATACAGCGTTAGTACTCGGTGGTTTTGGAAGATTTGGTAGAACTCACTGTGAAACCATCCTGGCCAAGTGCTTTTCTAGTGGGATATTTCCTTAGGAACTTTGTTTCTTTTATGGACATTGCTCTGTTTGAAGCTTTCAAACTTGAATGATGTCAGTGTTGGTAATCTGTATTTTCCTAGGAAATTGCCTAATTCATCTAGTGTAGAGGTCAGCAAAGTCATCTTATGATTTAAAAAATGTTTTCTGAGTCTGTGTGTCATCACCTGTTTTTTTTCCCCCCTATATTTGCCTTTCCTTTTTCTCAATCAAATGAGTGGTTTATTTGTTTAAAAAAATGGAATTTTGACTAGTTAGATTGATTGCTTGTCTGTTTTCCTCATTAATTGTGTTTTTGTTTTTGTTTTCAAACAAAAACAAACCAAAAATACCTTAATTTCAGCTTAACAGCACCAGGTGCAATGTCTGGGGACAGATAAGGTACAATGCTGTGTGACCACTCACATATACAGCTCTAAGAAGGCTCCTGAGGGGAACTTACCTCCAGGGGGCTGAACCAAGGGGAAGAGGGAGTCCCCAACGAGGTATGGACAGGCATGGGGAAAAGGCGCTACTTCTTGACAAAGGAGATCTTTGCAGGGTAGTTCTGGATGATCTTGAACCCATCTAGGAAGTCGCAAAGGGCCCCTGCCTGTACCCTATTGTCAGACTCCACAAAGGCCATGTCATGCTGCCCTAGGACCAGCCAGACCTTGAAGACAGAGAACTGGTTGAAAAACATGGACAGCATGAACTTGTTGGTCTCTGGCAGGTTGCTGAGGAACAAGTTGTGATTTAGTGGGTTTTCTGCAAGAGGCTGGGTAGGGGGCATCTGACCTGGCATACGCTGCGGGGGCAGTGGCTCCCAGTGGGATCTGGCCATGTTGGAGACCTGGAGATGGGATCATGCCAGGGAACAGCATGTAGGGAGGCTGGTCCCAAATGTGTGCACGATGCGGGCACCTGAGTCATGGCCCCATGCCCAGGACAGGCCCTGTGACAGCCCCCACGATGAGACTGACTGCCCTACCTTGTGCCACTTTCTTGGCAGCTGGGGTCTCCTGGCTCTTGTGTTTCCTCTTCTCCCGCTTCTAGTCCTGCTCCACACAGGCGGCCTTCATCTTGGCAATGATATCCAAGTCGGCATACGGAGGCGCATGGTTTGTTGTAGAAAGGGAAACCTGCATGGAGCGCAGGGCCCTGGTGTTGCTGTGCTTTTAGAACTTGACAAGGGCCTGGCCCTTACCTTCAGGCTCTGTGACAGGATATTCAGAATCTGGCCA